TGACCTTTTTATCATCTCATCTGACTTACTTGCAGAGTATTTCCTAAACCAGAGTTTGTCTCAGCATCTGGTATAAATTTAGCAAGCAAATGAGGGCATATAGGAGGCTGTTGGGTCTCTTCTCCAGTAAGTAGTGGATTAATTCCTGTAGGCACCAAACATTTATTCACAAACTTTGATCTAGTTTGAAGCTCAACAATACCTTTGGCTAAACAATTAGTATAATATCACAAATATTTTAAATGAACCAATACAAGAAATATCTTCCATTATAACCTAAGCATATAAGGAAAAATTAATTTCACCTTCCTGTGTTGCATTCATTTACACAGTACAATTTACCATATTAGTCTGATTTCATCACTGATCCCTCTTGTGAGTATTAGTTCATAATGAGAACATTAAACTTCCATCTAATCAAAACAAAGAACCTGGGAAATATTTAAGTTCAATACATTAGGGGCATTGTAATGATTTACATTAATATATTAACATTTGACCTCTAAATACAGGAGTTCAAATCTGGTTTAAATTGAAAAAACATGATACAATTTATCAGAAATTGCAGTATCTACTCAGAAAAGGCCAATATCTAAAAGTGCCATAGTTTCAGAGTTAGAAAGCGTAATATATTGAATGAGATCTGTAAGACAGCATAGGAGGATTTTTATTATCTTATTTTACATCAATTTGCATTAAGTATAGAGCTAATCTTATACCCAAAAGGTAAAAATTACTCATGGTTGCTTATACATATAAAAAATCACAGATTCTGCTCTCATCGGGTCAAATTCTGGTCTCTGTTACTAGTATGAATTTGTAGTAAATTCAGCAAAATCAATACTTTTCCAGTATAACGGAAAAAACCTCTAGCCATCGTATGAATAATAGTAATAAATTATCCCACTATAGAAAAATTAGGACTAGAGGCTTTTTTCTGAAAACACAAAGAGTCTGGTTCAAATACTCAAGATGTGTCTGCTCTACACACCACAGTGTAACTAGTTGGCATACCTCCACATCTAGCTGCAGTGTGCAGAACAAACATACCTGTCAATTACTTGTTCTGCTTCAAAGCTATCACCATGTAGTTGAAGTTACTAAGATGACCTTTAGGAAATGGACTTGGGCAGTCTAGAGGTCTGAGATAGATTAGATACCTTGGAAATTGTCATTGCACTTAACATAGACTGCCAAGCTTGAATCTTCATGATGGAAGTTTGTTTCATTCTGCTGATTGAAGATTGATTTTTAGGTTTGTCTCTACTTTGCCCTAAGAGGCAAGGAAAAAAAGAAAATTCTGCATTACAGTAACTTCAAATATACTCACTTACCTCAGAACAGAAGAGTGATAAATTGTCTTTTCCTTAACACTAAAGACCAACCCAAGACATTCCTTTCCTTGTTCATTTCTTCACTCATTCATTCCTTCCCCTTTATTCATCACTGGTGAGGCCACACCTGGAGTACTGCATCCAGTTCTGGGCTCCCCAGTACAAGAGAGACATGGACAGAATGGAGAAAGTCCAATTAAGGGCCACAAAGATGATGAAGGGACTGAGCATTTCTCCTATGAAGAAAGGCTGAGAGAGCTGGGACTGTTCACCTCGGAGAACAGAAGGCTCAGGGGGATCTGATAAATGTATATACATACCTGAAGGGAAGGGGCATAGAGGACAGAGCCAGGATATTTCCAGTGGTGCCCAGTGACAGGACCAGAGACAATGGACACAAACTGAAACACAGGAAATTCCCTCTGAACATCAGGAAACATTTTTTACTGCGAGGGTGGCAGAGCACTGGGCACAGGTTGCCCAGAAGAGGTTGTGGAGTCTCCATCCTTGGAGATATTCAAAATCTGTCTGGACACAGTCCCGGACAACCAGCTCTAGAAGGCCCTGTTGAGCAGCTGGGTTGGACCAGATGATCTCTAGAGGTCCCTTCCAACCTCAGCCATTCTGTGATTCTGCAAATAGTTCTGCTACTGGTAAAAGAACTAATCCAAGTTGTCTTAAAAGTGACTGAAGCTGGCTCTTCCTTCAGTGTAATTAATGAGAATTTCGGTTGATCTGAATAGGCAGAGAGAGGGTGCATCTGCACTAGCATGTAACTTCCAGTTAGAAGTATGATGATGAAGCAGATCTCCCTATTGTCCCCAGTCCATGGTGTAAACAGTTTTGGTTCACATCACAGAGCAGTCTGACAGCGGTTGACCTAAATTCCTTTCATATGAAACTAAGTAAGAAGACTCTTTTCTCCTAATCTTTTCCAATTAAAGAAGGAGTGTCAGTAGGGTGTGTGCTCCTAATTCACTTTAGTGCTTTGAAAGTCCAAACATGGTTTTCATCCCTTTACCCAAAGTTCTTTCTCCTTTTTTTTTAAGTTCTTACTTTTATTTGCCAATATTCTTTAGCGGTCAGCTTTGTCTTTACATATCTAATGAGCTTTTGTCCATTCAGAAACTTTAAATTATAGAATCTGCTGACTTGCAGTTTCCAGCCTGCAGCTTAATGATCCAGAGAGAAATCTCAGTTGTACAGTCGCAAAGCTTGGTAAAGGGAAAGACGTGGACTTAAAGCTAAAGAGTATTGTTTGATGGTTTAATGGACTACAGTTCAGTGCTGTGTTAGCGACCTGCATTTAGTGTGATCCAAGAAGCACTGGCCTACTATTCAGCATGTTTTCATTCTGATTCCAGTCATGCTTCTGATCAACTTTTTCAGGAAAGCAACAAATGTATGTGTCACAGTTTTCTTATTTACAGAACGGATATGAAATCTTAAAATGCTTTTAAGATTTATAAATGAAGAACATAAAGGTAAATAATATTATTTCAGTTAGATTATAGCACAGAACATTAGCCTTCTCAGCAGCATTTCACTTATGAAATGTCTCTTTTGTATTGTTTTACAACATTAAAGTATCTATTTGGTTCTAAGACTCTCCTGAGTGGAGACTGAGAATTGCTACAAGGCAATCATAATACTGGTGCTTTCTCTGTTCCTACTTAGGACTTCATAGGCCACAATAAGAATTTTCAGTACTTTTCAGCATACAGAAACCCAATTTATAGTGCATCTAATAATCTATGCCCAACAGATGATTTTGAATCTTGTGAATTTAGTAAACAAGGGGCAAGCAATAAGGTGTTCTTTTTTTCTCATATTTACTTTTGCACAAAATACTGCATGTAACTTAAGTTACCTGTATTTTGGAAGAATACTTTCAAACAGAATCCATTACCCACAGTTTTATAGTATGCACATGGTTCACCCTGAATGGACAAGGCAAAACATCATTTATTTATAACAAGGCTTTGAGTGTCCAAGCTTTGACATACTTTGAAATACAATAGAGCACATACTACTCTGAATTGTGTAATTTTCAGCAAAGATATGGCATATTATTTGCTTCAATTCTCTGTTTAGGGGAAGAAAAAGACAGCAAAAGAGCTTTTTTAAAATCCTCATTTTCTATTAGAGAGTGCCTGGAAAGATCAAGTCAAAACATTTGGCAGAAATTGGTTTGGTTTTGGCAGAAAACTGTCAGCTTTACCATCAATAATTTGCCTAGTTTCTAGCCAGCTTGCCTGTCTGGCTTCCTCACATCCTGAGCTCCCCAGCAACCCAGGAAGCAGGAAGGCAGATGATATTTTGGGAATGCCAAAAACTGGGTCCTGGATCTGAGAGGGCTTAGCATCTCTGAGTTCTGAAGTCTGTGTAATCAGGTAGACAGACTGTCCCCAGGTCAAACTGTGAGTCTGTCTAGGGACTCTGGAAGAGTATTCAGGAATTGCAGAACCAAATTTTTCATTTTGTGGAGACTATTTCTGAGACTACCTCTCCATGCCCTGTTTGACATGCCTCTTTGCCCTTGGATTATTCAGAATACTTTACTGCTAAAAGGGGGAATACACTTTGGGGTGAAGAAATGCAGAATAATTTATTTTTTTTTTACAATACAAGGATAACTGTAGTTACAACTGTAAGATACAGCTTCTGATGGGTATTCCATATATACCTGGTGGATTTGAAAGGTCAATTTTGCCAATGGTGATTAGGGTGGATTGTTCCTTGTCACTGTGCTTGCTTAATTGCATCCATTAGTGAGAAGCATAATTAAATGAAAGACACTTGGTATTTGAAATAACATCTTTTTGTAGAAATACGTATATTTCAGTACTTTGTGTTCAATATCGCAAGTGCATTAGGGCAATTTTTAAAGGTTTTTTTTTAGAACTCATTTATAATCATACATTGTTGATAGAATTAAATAAGTTAATTTCTGCATCTGTTCTCATATTTGGTACACGTAAAACATATAGTTTTAAACAATTTTTCTGTCATTTTACCAGGTATAAAATATTTCAGCTGAAATACTTACTTTAAATGTAAGAACACCAAAAAGACAAGTCTGAGAAAGAAAAATCAGAATATATTAAGCCTATTTATTATGATATTAAGATCAGTTAAGATATTACTACCTAAAGAACAGTATCTTAATTTTTTTTAAATCTGCCAATACAAATTTTTGGCTCATGTATAAATACCATGAAATTTCATTTTATTCTGCTACAGTTTCCCACTTAATGAGTACTAAGGCAGCTGCATAAAAAGTGCACATGTTCAAAAAGGGACTCAAGTGACAGAAGAACAAAAGAATGAACTGGTCATCAGAAGTTAGTGACATTTTCTGTCCTCTGAGCTGCCTTTTTCTAACTTGAAAAACACTGGTGCATAAACTAAAGATGCCTCCAGATAGCTTTCAATTTGCAAAAGTCCCTATTCCATAGATCATATGTCTGGCCAGCTTTGACATGTTTCTGGAGTCATAATTTCATAGGTGAGTGAGCTTGAAAAATGTCTTCAGTTTGATAGGGACAAATAAGCTTTTGTTCCACAGCAGGCATGCGTGTCTTGTCTTTGCTTCTACTCACAACACTTTCAATAAGCATATTTATTCTGACCAGTATCAAGAATATCTAATATATGTTAAAAAATACATTAAAATTTCAGTGCCTTTATGATCTCTTCATTTTGCTGTCACCAATTTTTTTTTTATACATAATATTTTAACATGACATACTCAGCACTTACAAAGCATTCCAGGATGAGTATAATCAACAACTCTCATAATTGCTGGCTATGGGGTTTGAGAAATAAGTTGCAAAGGTTGGGAGAACAGCATTTTACAGATGCCGTTGCAGTATATGGCTGGCTGCAAAGGAATATTTTAAAATTAATAATTTATGTGCCCTAGATTTACTAGATTCTTGACTGAACAGAAATAAGCATTGTCCCAAAAGGCTCCAATCTAAATCTTAGAAAAGAAACAAAAAAAGTAGGAGTGGTAGAGATAGATCTATTTAAAGATTGTGGTCACTTTTGTTAGTGACCACACTCTATAATGTATATGAGATAAAGAAGATACAGCTGTGTATGTCTGGATTGTTTATTTTGAGCCTTGAGAAAGAGGAGAATTTTCAAGGAGATTTGAGTGAGCAGCGGGAGAATCAGATATTATATACATAGGACTAAAGGGGACCTCTCCTGCGATTACATACCACCATACCATATGGTCTCTTTTATAAATGATCATCTCCATATGAAAAATTACTCCCACTGGGAGACTGTTCCAGAATTTCATCTCTCCAAAATCTAGAACTTTATATTTCCAGCCTAAATGTATTCAGCCAATTTGCCTATTTATATTTGTGCAAAGACTGTCATTTAGTTTAAATGCTTCCTTCTTCACTGTTTACTGTTTTAGCAAACTACTGAACAGGAATGGCAATCCAGATCCTTTTTCTTGTTATTTCTTTTGTCATTACATATTTGTTATTTCTATTGTCATTACATATTTATTATTTCATTCAAAATCCGTTGTAAAGTAGATGTAGGCAAATCTTTTGGATACTTGCAAAGATACTATTTCAAAAGGCTGAAATGCAGGCAAAACAACTTCAGATTGCTTGAAATGAATGGTTTTACTATGCCACCCACTAAACTCTGGGAAGAGATGGAGAAGTCAGTGTGACATGAGAAAGAGAACAGGGAGTCGAACTGACACAGAAAAAAACAATGAAGAAAATGGAGCAAACCCATGGAGAGGTTTTTAATGGGTTGTCAAAGTGAATGAGGAACCATTAGGTTTGTTCACCGATGTGGCCACTTTGTGCTTTTTAAAATCAAGAGCAGTTAAGAATGCAGCAGAGCTCTGATCATGCCAGATGCATTAAAGGGAAAACTGTGTGAACCAACAGAGAAAGGTGTTGCAATCATCACTGCCATCATGAATCCCCTTTTGGGGATAACAGTTATATGTGAGAGAACTAGTCAAATTCAGAGGTCTAGAGACCTAGGGGAAAACTGGTCTAACTCAGTGCATATGCAGACAGCACCCTTTATCATTCCGCTCACATCTTTCAACCCATGAATCAATGCCGCTGACTCGTGCTCCATCTTTTGTGGTCCATTGGAGTTCTTTTTGTCAAAAAGACCTGTTCCTCCCATTGCCCTGATGCTCTATTGCTCTTTATTTGTCTAACAGCTCAAAAAAAGTTAAGTTGCACAGAATTAAGTGTGCCCTTCATAAGTGCTTTGGTGGAACATACACAACTGAGTGATTCTGCATGAGAAGTGCAGAATCTAGATGTTATGCTCTTACAAAAGCTTCATGCAGTCATAGCCTGGTAGGGAGCTTACTGACGGAAAAAATGTTTACCCAGGGACTGACTGGCAATCCACTTAGCCTTCTGAAGGCATGCCCCCTGGTTGCAGTGCCTTGACGTCTGCTGCATTGCTGACCTCCTGGAGTTGGCAGCTTATTTAAATTCAGAGTGGGCTTCTCAAGATGGAGGCAGTGTGTTGATAGTGTGTTAATAGCTGTGTTGTCTTGGACTGGATTGTAAATGGGTAATTATTTAGGCCAGCACTTCCCCTTTCACAATCTGTGGTTGCAATGTTTGTTTCTGCTCTCCAAAAAGCAATGCTATGTCCTACACTGGACCATAAACTACCTCAAACCTAACAAGAAGCAAATATATAGGTGTAGCTGTACATAGATGTGTCAACAAACGTCTCAGTTTCGGCAGCCTTGGCACTTCAGCCACTGATCTTTTGAGTTACTGCATAATTTGGACTTCATGGAAAAATCTTATGACAGCTCATTAACACGCAAGTCTGAGTGAGCCAGCACAGTCCTAGCACTCCACTTCTGTTGAGGCAGAAGCTAGTTATCCTCGTCATTATTATCAAGGCAGCCTCAGTGTCACAGAATGTGACACTGAACATTGCATATTACCCTTCACTGCTAGCATCATTAGAAAAGGTTTCAGCAGCAGCCAGAGCAACAGCCATACACAGCTTCTTAGAGTTCTTGTCGCTCCTTTCCATCTAACCTCAGCTGCGAAAGAACCATGATGTGCATTGAGGGATAACTTCAAAGAAAGCTTCTAAGGAATCATGTGGGGTTTTGGTCTAGCAGTTATCACCACGTATTGCATACCCTGATATTTCTCAATCCTGTGAGGCACATGATGGCATATATTATTTACTCAGCCATCCTATCAGAGCAATGGAGGTTACTCAATAACTTTTGTTCTGAGGCTGCCTCGTATTCCCATTTCATTTTCACTAGCCAAAAGTTACTTCTTTTTTAAAAGCCGTTTATCCATTGAATCTCTTTGATTTTTTATTAGAACAATATTATGTTGCAGCAGCAATCTTTGTCAAGCAAAACACCAATTGGCATGACCAAGGATGACAAATCTGATCTCAAATGATTGATTTGGAATAATTATAGATATGTTTTCACAGTAATAGTGAGCACAGTGTTATGACATGATGAGTTGTTTACTTATATAAATACTGAAGTTTAATTGTTTAGATTCTTGGTAGCTCCACTATCCCACAGGGAAGATTTATTTTTTAAATTTGACTCTGATCTTTTTATTTTGTAGAATAAGATATTTTAGACAGTTCAGACTTCTAGTATTTTTTTTTGAGTCTTAAGGCTGCACAAGAAAATTAAAGTATATAAAATGTCACCAAACATATAGTTAAGAGTACTGAACTTGAAAGCTGAGAAATACAGCACTCAGACATGCTGTATCTCTATATTAAATTTATTAGTGCTGTACTTCTGTATTTATGGGATATGTAAGTTAAATAATTCTCCAAGCTTCACTCTAAAATTCAATGTAAAATAAGGAATTGAACTTTCCATAAGAGATAAAATTTAACTTGGTTGTTTGGGTTTTTTTAATGTAAAAATGAAGGTATTATATAACAGAATATAAAACGTGATATTTTTTTTTTCTGTATAACAATTCTAACATGGAAAATAAAGCTATAGGTTTTCAAATTTACCTTACAGCACTGGTAAAAAGAACAATGGAGTCCCTGCAGCAAACCACAGCCTTGGAAGTGCCACTAAAGGTAGGGACAATTCTGAATTTCCATTACTGTCTCAGGCATACTTCTCTTTGTATGTTATCGTCATCATATTAAGAATCTAGAGACAACTATTTTGCCTTTCACTTCAATAGTTTCATTTTCGTATTTGCAGGTAATTACTTTTTTTAATTATTACAAAAATTCTAAAGGAAAATAACTGAAAGAAACTCAACCTCCATTTTGGAAAGTATGATTGTCATCTACTCTTTGTCTTAGCAATGCAGTATGGTAATTTCAAAATCTATTTTGTTCATTGCCATGAAATTTCTGTTGGGTGTGGTAGAGTGAGAAATATGTGCCTTTAATAGGCTTTCTAAATGTGCCAGGCATTCATTACTGCTGAAAAATTATTGCAAAAGATCTTTCTTCAGTAATTTTCACTTACAAAATTGGTCTTTTTAACATTTCCATGTGGATGCCTAACACAGAAAGCAGACAAAATCATTGGTCACTGTTTAAAGTATAGGACATCATCTACCAGAAGAACATCTGTAAAAACTGAGTAGATAGCTACACAGCTATTGTATCTATGCATTGGACCTAATTGGAATTATTTTATAAAATAATTATATTTTTCCCTCTACAAGACTGATACTCTTCACCCTAGCCTACTGCTCAGCTTTTGTTCCTTAATAAAGGACTATAGTTCCTGGGAATCCCTAAACTTATTGAGTGAGCAACAGTCCAAGGGTTTCTTCCAGTTTCCTGAGAAATGGAGTACTTGGTGTTGCCAGTTACTCATTCAGCAGTTTTACTGAACAAGATTTGGGGACAGAAAAAAGTTTATTCTATTTATTTCAGAAACGGTTACAACATACAGACCTGCACTAATGGAAACAGTTGAAAAAGAAAACTACTAGATAAGACCTAGCTTGTATTTTCTTCCTCCAGATCTTCTGTATCTATTTCAGCATCTCAGCCACTTTGTAAGGCTTTCTCTGGAGGTCTTGCAGTTACATATTTCTGGGTCCTTATGGAGCCTATGTTTCCCACAAAAGCTGAGAGTGGATAACGAGGGGTATCTGAGATCTAAATTACTCTTTCTCCTTCCCACGCTGGAATCCCTTCCCTCATTGTTCACTTAACCCTTGTAAGAACTTGTACTCCTATTTACCAGATTTCGTCAAGTGAGACCTTTTGACCATGCCGGGATTATACATTTCTTGCACTGACACTCCGAAGCTTTATAAACTGCATTTCTGTAGGTTGCTTACATTGTACACCTATGCTTGCCTAGCTTCTTTTGTTACACATTCCTTGAAAAAAGAAGCAAGACAGTATTAGACACCTGGCACTCGTGCTGCTCTAAGGTTCATTAAAATAATCAAATATGGTATTATTGATAGTACATAAAGTGAATAGCAACACTATAGTCTTTCCTTGGTAGTTTTAGGAGACCCTTTTTGGTGACTTTGTCAGAAATAACATTGTTCATACTTTGCCTGAGGAAGACATTGCCCTGAAATGAAATATGAACAATTTAGTAGGTTTCTAAGACAGACAAACATTTACATGGTTAATGAGAGTGTTCATAGTTACATGGGAAGAATATCATTTTAGTGTTCTGTATTTCAGACTAACCATTAACTGGCAGAAGATTTTAATGTCCTATGGACAAAATGGGACACATCATCATAGAACAGTTTCTTTCACCTCTGTCTAAGGTGTCCGCTATCACACACTGACAAATTCATCTCGATGCATTAGCAAATGGATTCAATATGTCGTTCCTATGAGAACAGTAATTCTCTGTTAAATAACAACTACATTTTAATAGGTGAAAAGAAACACATTCTTGGACAATAGGTAGTTGTCTGGGGTTTTCAAAGATTAGGACTTTTTAATAGGCAGTAGAAGTATTTGAAGATACATGTTTCATTACCCTTGTTTTGGTCTCCTTTTCCTGAGCAATTTACTGTAGGAGTGATGACATACTTTTACTCCTACTGCACATTAGACTACATGCATCATGAAGATACTTCATCTTCCTCTGAAGCATCAGGAATGGATCAATGGCAGAGGCCAGGTAGAAAACATAAAGTACCAACAGCTTGATCTCAGAGAAGAAATTGAAAGTGACCTTTTAATAAAAACATGTTCATGTTGTTTACCTTTCTATACAGTAAGAATATGTCTTTTAGGATTAGAGATGCTGAAGATGAAAAGATTTTTGTGAAATACTCCTGCTTTCCTTCAGCACACTTGCTTCAACTAAATATGTATTATGTGCTCGGTTAATATGAATATTATTTTTTAATATGGAGGAAAAATGTCATTAAAGTAGAGTGCGTGTATAGTCTTAATGGGGAGAGATTTCTTTTTCTTCTTTGAGGAAAAGGATGCTTTATCTTTGAAGTAGCTTCTTTTCCAAAATACAGTCCTTGCTAATGAGACAGCTTTCATGTCAGAAAATCTACCGTGTAACGGAGCACCAGTAACTGCAAAACAAACTGAAATAAAACCAAAGCAACAACAAAAATACCTCAGAATTGGAAAAGTGGATGGTAAAAAAACCCCTAGTATCTTTATGCATTACTGACAAAGTTGCTGATTATAGAAACTCTGATTTTGTAGCTCTTTTGAAAAGAGTAATAAGATGAATTTTGCTTTAGCATATTCCTTGCAGTTCAGTAACATGTATTTGCAATTTCAAAACTGAAGGTCAGTCTTAACTGTTAAGTTATTTTAAACAAAATTGTAGTGATAATTAAGTATTCGTAAATATGAACAACATTTCATATTGGATAGGCACGTAATCTAGAGCAGTATCGACATCCCAAGGGAAAGGCAAAAATAGTAATCTTGCTGTATGATGTGTTGTGTTTGTTTGTTTAATTTTTATTTTTTTTTTTCTGACAGGTTCCCTTGAAAGTGATTCTTACCACTGGGAAATCATGGGGGTGTATGACAGAATTGCAGGAGATGTAAAGCAGTCATCGTGGATGTTATTCAGTACCCGTACACCTCATTGGCCTATGCCAATTCCTCGCTGAATCACTAGGCAACAGCGCTGCTGGATCTTTCATAAGCACCTAATACTCTGCATGTGAATTTTTTTACTTCATTTTGTCTGTAGCCCTAGGCAACGGCAGTGAGATAAAACTGGTTTTTACCAGTTCATTGTGTTTCCTTTAGCCAAGGTAACCAGCAGGGAGCTGCTTTTGTTCAGAGCTAAATTACTACATGTAAGAAATGAAGCAAGACAATATTAACCCTTTGGGAACATGACAAATATATTTGAGTTAGATGGATGTTTAAACTGCTGTTAAATATTTTGTGAAGTGCTTGTGTAAAAATACTTCTAATCTGGCACTCTTTGAACTGTATCAGCAAGTGCTTAACTGTTGTCTTTAGCTTATTTTATACTTTGTGAGTAGAAGGCAGCTGCTTTGCTTTGCATCACATGTTAAATGTCATGTTCCGCAGACTTAGAAAAAAGTTCTTTGGAAATTAAGAGTCTCCAACTTAATTTGTATTTAGGATTTTGGAGCAAAACAGGTAAACAAAACTGGATGCCTAAATGCATTAAAAATAACCAGATTGTTGTCAATTCAATTAATTTCAAACTCAATTTGTACACTGTAACCTTTGCATACTTTAGAGGAAGTATTATGGTTTTGCCTAATCGATTATTTTTATTACTAATGTAATGCTAAATATTGTTTAGATAAATTTTGGGATTCAGCCTTATACTTTTTAGGATTCGGGCATCTACTTTAATGTTTGGATTTGTTATTGATATTTGGGGTTTCTGTAGAGTTTATTCTTTATATGTGTTTGTTTCATAACATTACTTGTTGCCAAATTCTGCTTCCATGATTGTGGAATATGAAATTGTCCTCAAAGTTTACTAGTTATTTAGAAGTTGAAGTCAAGCACAAAACTTTTAAGAGGTGTTCAGTATCTTTCAACATTAGACCTCAAATGATCAAAGTAATATAATTCAAAAAGTATATAGTTACAGAGGTTTTGCAGTAGTTTGAATATGTATCATTTTGTATTGCACTTAAAAGCATTAAACTATTAAACATTGTTTTCTTATGTTGCATATTAATCATACATAACCTGTCAGCTGAAGTGAGTCAGTAGTTTCTAAAAACTGATTCTTATAAAATTAGCAGTGGTCACATAAGCAAAGTCAGAACTTTCTACATGTTAACTGGGAGTCAGCTCTTTGGTTGGGGGAGAGTCCCGCCTGCATGGCTGTGACACTGCGCCAGGTCATGCAAGCAGAGGATCTGATTCCACCTTTCTAACAGAGAAGAGGTTGCACGAATTTTCTTGTGCTTTTTGCTATTTTCAAGCCTTCTATGTTTTCAATGACATTGAGTAAGTGTGAAATGTTCTACTTGCTCATCTGTTTCACTCCTTTTGAAGACCTGCTGTTTTCAGGAGGGCTGTACTAATTAAGCCTTGCTTCTCTAAGGCTACATTGCTAACCTTACTACTGTATGAAAGAAGTCAACAGGTTTTTTTGTATGTTTCCCAGCTGATTTCTACTTGTGTATGTTTCTTAGGATGCATACTTTTAAACTAGATGATAGTGTATTTTTTCAAGTTCTGAACAATACTAGGCATACCCTTCAGGCTAACAAAAACCAAATGCACACTTAAGAACATAAAGAAACTTGCTCCTGTTCTGTGAATTGACATCTGTTCAAATATGAAGCTACAGAAATGCAGACGTCACCATATAGAACAAATTTTCAAACACAGCCCTTCACAAAAGACTGTCACCCCAGACGCATGCATTTTGCATAGGTTGTCATATAGTGGTCAAAGTTAATATTTTGTTCTCCTTGTGTCGCAGAGGTGGACTGTGAGCTCCTCCTCCTCTGGGCACCATGTTTGCTGCTTCTGCCTTTACAACATTTCTTCCTGGTTTTAAATTTCCAAAGAGTCAGCTAACAAAAGGAAGAGAACCAAGCAATAAGGGCACTGCTTTATCACACGTGTCTGAGGGCTCATTCTGCATACACTGGTGTGAAGGCAAACTGGCTTAATTTTGGAGGATTGTTGATGACCAAGATCTTAAGACTTAGTGCAGTTTGTGTCCCCACAACTTGCAGGATGTGTACCATTAACTCAGGATATCTTTCCAGTGCTCCAGATTCTCCAGTAAAGGAACTGTGTTTTCTTCTAATTGCAGCTTGTGAGTTAATTATCAGATACAGATTTATGGCATAGCTAGGTGGAGACCAGGGCTCTGATGTACATGCAACCAGCATCTGCTGTACTATGAGTTACAAATACTGGGATGTGTTCTCTAATCTTTTGGTTCTGTTATCCTTGGATAGCCAGGTGAGTATCTAGTCTTCACTGTCTGCCCTGTGCTACTGTGTTAAGGTATAGATTTTTGTGGGTTATTAGATTTCTCAGACCTCGCTGAAGTGCTTTGGCTTCAAAGTTCCTCCATTTTTTAACTCTTAACATCCCAGATATTGAGAAGAGTGCTGAGTCTTTGGGACAATTTATTTTTCTTTGCAATCCATCCTGTATGGCAATATAGGTTTTGGAAACAGTTGTATTTTTCAAATTGTGGAATTGGAGAATTATAAATTTCTTTAGATGGCAGTAATTTCCTTGAACAAGCTGCTTGAGATAGGGTAGTGTTTGCAATTCATTTCCCAACAAGGTCCTCTGGACAAGGCATCAGTTTTACCACACTTGCGTACTGATCTACGTATAACTATAAAATCAGGGCAGTGCAGTTTTTCCAAACCCTAGGCAAGCTGCCCTGCGGTGTGCCTGAATCTAAAGAGCCATTATAGAGAAGCAAGGCCAGTCCTGACCACAAATTTCCTCCCAAATAAATACAGGTGAAAATATTCTGTATTTGATGACTGCCAGGAATTCCTTTTGGGTGGCATAATAATTTCACAACGGAGAACTCAAGACCCCCTATTATAATAAATGACCACCTTTTCAGGTTATTCTGATTCTATGTGAAAGGGACTGTAAAACATGGGTAGGCTGGAGCAGGGACAATCACAAGAACCTTTTTCAATCCTTAAAACTCTCAATTTGATCTCTAAAATTATTCCCTTTTTCTCACAACCTATGAAGAGGTACTGGGAGAGCAAGAAACAAAACTTCTGTTTGAAGTGCAGAAACCCACAAAAGTATTGATCAATGAGTGTGGGAAATCACAGAATAGATGGGGAGGGGGGACCAGCTCACTCTGCTTAGCTTCAGTTATCTTTTGTGGGCAGAAATTTCATTAATTGATTCTCTAAACACAGTAATAACCCTACCTCTTTTGAATTGATCTGTGTCTTTGAGTTTCATTTCAGTTGTGTTTTTGGTGGCCTGAATCTTCCCTTAGATCATCTGCAAATCTTTTCGCTTGCCATGTGGAGTAGTGGAGAAGGAACACTACTTGAAAACACTTTAACCCAGTGTCTGTGAGAAATGGAACAGCACAGCTATTTGCTGGCATTTGCATGGACATGGCATGACTGAAATACATATCTGCTTGGGACTTGAGTCTTTTAATGTCCGCTTACCACTGCGGAATGGTGGGACTCTGATCTTGACTGTTGGTCCAACTTGATAACCATAGTTCAAACACTGGTGTCAGATTTTGTGTGAGCAAGACATTTTAAACGTGAAGGAAAAAAACACTAATCCTCTCAGTTCTTGAAAACTGAGAGCAGATTAAGAGACTGAATCTGCTAGAGCATCCAGGACATTACTTGTTCTCGGTAATGATTAAGAAAAAGCCCTTAAAAGTAAGCTAGTTTCATTTTGGGGAGTCGACAGAACCTATTTGTCTCATATTTTCTTGTTTAATCTGATCTGAAAAGGAGGCCAAAGAATGGGCTGAAGGTTGTATTATGCCTTCCTGATATATTTCCTCAGTGGCCTAAAACATATCTTCTCGCTTCAGCACCAGAAGCCCAGACTGGATAAATCCCTGAGTAACAGGGTCTTGACCTCATAGCTCACCTTACTTTGAGCAGGAGGTTGGACCAGAGACCTCCTGAGGTCCCATCCACCCTGAATTTTCTTATGATCCTATGTCATTCTTCAGCTGGACAACAGCAGTCATCTGGTTGAAAGACAAACCAGAAATTCCCTTCAAATATTCTACTGTACTGCATCAAAGTATGCAGTGCTGTACCAGAAGAAGCCCCAGAAATGTTTTGGGATTTCATTCCTCCTTCCCACCTGTGTTGCCTATTCTGTGCCAGCATTTACTATATTCCCTGGCTCACGGGCTCACTTTTGGCTGGCATACTTCCTTTTGGTATTAGCAGGTTGTCAGAAACATTCAGGGAGCGGAAAGGAATCAGTTCTTATTTCTGCCATTCTGCAATAGTTTTAGTAGGCAGGGTGTCTCTGGGATTTAAAATAAGTTTCAATCATGTCCTGTCTTTGTCTTCCCAGGAAACTTCCCCAGCCTGATCCGCTCCTCTCTACTGGAAACAGCAGCTTACAATCAGCTGGTTCTGTTAAGACATCTTTGAACTGCACATCTACCACCCATTTTGGTAAGATCCTCTCATGTTATCAAGTGTGTCTTTATTATCCATTGTAAGTCCAGGCAATTTGTTATCCTCTTTGCTTGTGTTTTGAATTCTGGAGGTCCAACTTCCAGCCAACATTTGCACATTTTGGGTGCCTTTTTCCATATCACCTTCTCCATTCAAGGCTAATTAGTTGGATAATTTTTAGGTTCTTTGTCCCTCAGCTTTTGCTATCTACACTAATAATTTAATCCATTGCCAGCCTTTCCCCTGCACTTCATAAATACTGTTATTATTGGTAGTAAAACTCTCACTATTAATTGTCCACAAGTTAAAAAAAAAAAGTTGCTTATCTTTCTACCTGTAACCTTTGTGCCCTCAGCTTGTTTCCCTCTACCTTTTGGCATGGCATTTATGCCTTTATGGCATTTTGGAGACTATTCTCTGGCCAACTATATT